GGGCTATATTCCTTCTGGAAGCTGTAGAGGAGAATCCCTTTTCCTGCCCTTTCCGATGTCCAGAGGCCATTTGTCTTCCTTGGTTCATGGCCCCATCCTCCATTTTCAAGCCAGTAGTGTGGCATCTTCAAATCTCTCTCTGACCTCTTCTTCCATCACCACATCGTCTCTGACCCTGGGCCTCCTGTCTCTTTGTGATTACATTGAGCCCACCTGGGAAATCTAGGATGGCTTCCCCATCCCAACATCCTTAATTTAATCAAACCTGCAAACTCCCTTTTGCAACATAAGGCAACACATTCATAGGTTCTATGGTTTAAGATGTGTACATCTTTGAGGAGCCATTGTTCTATTACATCACGTCTCCTGTGCATCTTTAGCAATTTCTGCACATCTTTTCCAGCCCTCATAACACCGAATTACTAGTTCAACTGACTAGCTTCCTTATTTGATTATAAGTGTTGAAGGCAGACCCATAATCATCCTCTTTCTTGTTCACTACTGCACTTACATTTGCTAAGACAGTGCTTACAGTAGGCACTCAATATGTGTATGTTAACTGACTGCTTGAATGAATGAATGAATGAATGAATGAAATCCCCAATAATATGTGCACATGTTTTCCAAAGGTGGTGTTGTGATTTGTCCTAAATGTTTCTTATCTCCTTATATTCTTGAGAAATTTGAAGTATAATTCTGCTTCTCAATAGTTGATATCAACAGAAAATTCCTTCATTTAAAAAATTATGAATGACTCAGAGGCTGTCAAGAATCTTTTGAAGTATACGAAAAGCACTCCTAAATTATGCAACTACGAATACTTTTTAATTAAAGGAGTTAATGAATATTCCACAGGAGAGAGCTGGCTTCCACAGTCTGGAGTTAATTGCCCACCCACACCTGATGGTTAATTTCTTTCTGAAATGTTGTTTTTTGTAGATAAAGCCCATCATTTACCACATCCCACATGGGTATAGATTAGTTGTCTCCTTTGCACATGCTCCAAGCTTACCTCATTTTGCTTAAGGCAGGATATTAGCTGTACTCTTTTCTAGGATGATGTGATTTTTATTGCTCTGAAAGATTTACTCAGAAGCTTAGAACACAAGGTTATAGCTGTAAAATTAGTACAATGGCAGAACTCAAAGGATACTGTGTAAAAGAAAACTTCACTTATTTGGGGAAAGATTTCAGAAATGTCCATTATACTTAAATTTTCATTTAAGTGAATTGGTAACTTTACCATTAGGGATTTTTTTTTTTTAATTTAGAAAAGAAATCATGCATTGCTTCTCTTTAAATAGCTTCCTTAAATTATTATCCACAACTGCATGTCATGAGTCTTTTGTTTTGCTTTACTTTATTTTGTTTTGTTTTGGATGGTCTGAAAATATACACATATTTTGATTAAAGGAATAGCAAAGAGGAAACTTGGCCAGAAAAATGAAAAGACAAAGCAAACAATAGCATGAACCCACTGAGACAATGGAAGGGAAAATTTTATATCACTATTGATAAAACTCAAACATTTTCATAGTTAAAAATCTATCACCAGTTAAATTATGAAATAAGCACAAGAAAATAAAGAGAATGGCAAGAACAATTTAGTAAGTAAAATATATATGGTAGGGTAGAATAAGAAAAAAATGCCTTGTTTCTTAAAGAATTTTCTATACCTTTTTATCAACATTTTCTAGTCATTTAAATACAGTTGTCAATCTCTCTAGAGAACGTACACACAGATTGTTTTTCACTGCAATATTTTTAAGGTCCAAATGACAAATAAGTTTCTGATTAACTACCAGTGGCTTCCTGAAGCATTGAGTTGATAAAAATTATAGGCTGTGGTCCCCAGCCTCCAGGCTCTTGCCCAGTACTGGACCATGACTTATTAGGAACCAGGCCATGTATCGCCACCTGAGCTCCACCTCCCATGCCCCCCACCAATCCGTGGAAAAACTGTCTTCCATGAAACCAGTCCCTGGTGCCACAAAGGCTGTGGACTGGTGTTATAAGGTCTTGTTTGACCTCAGTGGTAAAAAGTACCATCACTGATTAGCCATGTTTTCCCTGGCTATTGAAAGGGATGATAGAACTCATGCCATAGAGTTATAGATGATAATATATGCAGTATCTTTTAGGAAAAGCAAGGCATTGACTTATTTTCTTTAAAAAATTGCTAATATTCTTTCAGATGACAGTGTCTTTTTACCAAGCCTCTTTTATTACTATTGCTATTATGTTTTATAGTAAATAAAGAAGACAACTTAAAGATCTCAAATCATTAATTTTTAGTGTTTTAGGTTAAATATTAATGTTTAAGTTTTTTGACAAGTAATTTTAGGTTGTATCTTATTTTGAAATATGTATTATTTTATAAAATATATGTCATTTGGTAAGAACAATGTCATATAAGTGGATGAAAAAAAGGACTAATTTTGATGTCAAATTGTGTCTTCATTGTTGTTTTAAGATCTATTCCCAAATGTGTCAGTGCTTTAAATCATTCATTTAATCAGAGCCATTGTATTTTTAACAATTAATGATTATTTTCTTTATTTAATAAGAGTACTCACCTTTAAGCAGCAATGTGCTGGTAAATCTTTATTAAGCAATTCTTGGAGCTGGGGAAATGGGGCAGGGTTGTGAAGAAGTACTGATTTGTAGTTTTGCCAATTTCCATGGTGTAAATATTTCTACCATAACTGATTTCAAGCTACCAACATGCTATCGTTAAACATAGAGTTGGGAAGAAGATATATACATAGTTGACTTTCAAGAGCTGGTATGATCTAGCTCTAACACATTGCTTCTTCTAAAGAAGCCATATAAATTTTATTTTCTAAAACTATTATATTCAAAATAATAGGAAACCTTCAAATATTGAACTCCAATGTACATTGTAAACATGACTAGTCTTACTAAAATATTTTGTATCTAACTTTGTAAGAAAATGTCTAGCTCCATAATATATATTTTCATCTATATATGTTGTATGAATGTTTGGTAAAGTTTTCTAAGAAAGCTTACCTAATTAATTGTTAGATATTTTTATACAGTGAAAATTTAATAAAATATTTCCAAATTGTGTAAAAATGTATTTATGACCCAATCAACATTCCACTGTTGATTAGAATAAGTATTTTTTTTATCTGGAATAAATATTTTTGGTTTTCCTGTGATCTTAATCCTTTCCTATCTCTGATAATGAGCAGGGGTGTATTATACCTGAGAATATAAATAAGAGCCCCTGCATCAGTAGAGGTATGTCCTATGTTTAATTAGGCAAATAGTGAATGATAATGATTACTACTGTGTGGTCAGTGGATGAGATAAGTTGTGGTTACTTTCAATTTCGTCTGAGGTTCTAATTTACCATTTTAGGCCAATGGAAGCATAGCCTGAATCTACATTGACTGCTTAGCCCTCCTTTCCCTGGGAGAAACAGGGAAACAGAAGGCACTCTTGGAGTGCCTGGCACATAGCTGGCCTTCAATAAATGTTGGTTGAATGGGTGCAAGAGGAGTTTGAGATCTTAAGGAATTATTAGTATTTAATTAAGGCTGTCTGTATGGTTGGAATGCTTACAACTCTATATCGTTGCTAGTTTTTGAAATCTTATGCATCCTTCAAGGCTACTTTTCATATGAAGCCTTTTCTAGTCACTCTAAAGAGACTACTCCTTTCTGTAAATTTCCATATTTTTCATTTTATCATTTTCAATCATGTGTCATTGATATACTAATGCTATGCTTGGCACTCAAGTATATTATAACCTCCTTGAAGAAAGGAATAAGATCTCACTCATATTTATCACCCAATCCATTTAAAAAAATTCCTTCAAGCTAGTACATACTGTGTAGTTATTATTCAGTTAATAAATAGGAATATAGATCTAAAGGTAAAACTTGAAAATAAATCCTCTATCTGAATACCACTTTTCAAATGTATTAGAAATTACTTTGTAGCATTTCTCCTTTTCCTAACATTTACCGCCACATGTAAATTTTCAGTGTGTATTTTATATTTTCTTCTCACTTGTTTTTATCTTTAAGCAGCTAAGCAGCAGGGTTTTTTTTTGTTTTTTTTTTTTTTTTAATGCCCTCCTTCCCTCATACTTCCCTCCAAATTGAGAAAAATACATATTTCCATTTATCGGTAGCCACTCTATGGGAAAACCTTGAGCATTTTAAATGGCAAAACTATTCCAATTAAGAATTTATTTTTTCAGAGAATTTCATAATAACGAATGAATTGGAGTTTAGTTGAGAGACTTTACCAACTACAGTGGTGTAACCTTAGCCTATGTAATCAGCTCTGAGAGCCACATCACTCCTTAGGGCCACCCAAATGCGGCCTATCACTGCTCAGAAATATATCACATGAGGAAACTGAATCAAAAGAGGTCATGAACTCCTAAGAATAATCATTTTATTTCCATTAAGTATATTCAGAGGCAGATTTACTATGAACCAAATGAAGCTTAATTTTCAGGGCTCTCACACAGATCCCTTGCTAGGCTGGAGGACGAGCCCCAGCAATGGATTTTTTTCATTAAAGTGTGACTCCAAAATTATATGTACTTCAGGCACCACAAGGCAGGGCTCTACTTCTGAGCACACCCAGTATGGAAACAGTGTGATATTGTAGAAAGAGTTGTCTAGAGGCCTTGATTCTAGTCTATATGCTTAGCACTAACTTGTCAGGTATCCTTTCAAAAGCAATTTAAACTTGCTGAGCCTCAGTTTATCTGTGAAATGATACTGGTAATTAATTTAGTCTGTCTTCCTCTCTGAGTTATGTGATAATGACCTGAAATAACATTCTCATAATGAAGAAATCAGAGTTCAGAAATAATAATTTACTGAAAATTTAAAAATTAAAACAGTGTTCAGAATTAGTGTTGTGAAACTCAAGGCCATTGTTATCTTCCCACCAGTCAAAGTCAGCAGCAGAAATCCCTAAGAATTTTCCCTAACTCAAGTCTGTTTCTCCTGCAGAAGAAGCTTCCCAGTCCTGCCCTAATGATAAGTGTTCTTTAGTCCTGGATTGCAGCGGATTGACCTTTTTTGACTATTCCGGAGTCTCCATGCTTGTTGAGGTATTTATGCAGCTGGTGTTTGGACTGATACCTTCCCTCCTCTTCAGTAATACGGGTTTTTCACCTGTTGCTCAGTCTTGAGCCTGCTTGTTACAATACTCATCTATCCCATTCTCCACAAAGGACACAGAACTTTATGTTTTGCACCACTATAGGTTTGCTTTCAGGGCTTCCCATCAAGCTTCTAGGTGTGTGTATGGGGGGAGGGGTTATAGGTGGGGGTTTTCATGTGGGGTAGTCAGAGAGAACATAGCATAAGACTCGAGATGTGGCGGGCATAGTGCCCACGGGGGAGTCAGCTTACAAGGCTTCTTGTAAAGCCAGAAAGAGAAAAGCTCCTTCTAGCATGAGCAAGTGCCTTGGTGAGAGCAGGAGGTTTTCTCTCACATCATGGCCAGATACAGTTTGGTCCAATACCATCCCTGGTCTCTCAGATGGTGCCCATTGCAGGGGCTTTTCTCTGTTCTCTTGGGTGATGGTGCCTCTTCCCCTACCTGGTGAACTCCACGATCCAGGAGTGCAAACAATAAAACTTTGTTTATTTCTTTAAAACTGACATAGCTCACAAACTTCATTTCCACAGATGGAAGAAAATCTAATTTTGTCAATTCAAGGAAAACTCAAACACTTCTAGGATTTTTTTCTCCTTTAATTTTTGTTTTGTTTTGTTTTGTTTTTTAGAAACAGGGTCCAGGCTATAGTTCACTATAACCTCAAACTCCTGGGCTCAAGCAATCCTTCCCCCTCAGCCTCCCCAGTGGCTGGAACGACAGGCACCTGGCTAATTTTTCTATTTTTTTGTAGAGACCGGGTCAGGCTATGTTGCCCAGGCTGGTCTCAAAACTATTTGTCTCAAACGATCCTCACACCTCTGTCTCCCAAAGTGCTGGGATTACAGGCATAAGCCACAGCACTCTGCCCTACCCTCTTTCTTATTTCCTTCTGTTCTCTCCCTCAATATCCTTAATTGGTGAGAGGTGGGGCAACATCTGTTCCCCCATGTCCTCAGTCCTGCCCCAGCTTCTGTGCACATCACTCAGCTCACCTCAGCTTCAGTACTTGCTCCCCAGAGGGTTTCTTCCCCTGGCCTCCTAGAGTCTCCCCGAAGTGTGGCTTGGGATTCAGCCAAAGACTTAATCAAAACCCTATGAAAATTTCTGGAGCTCTTTCTCTGCACATCACCCTCTTTTCTACTACTCTCTCCCACAAATCTGGCCCATCTAACCCTCCCCGAGCTCCAGTCCTGTCTGCTCAGCTAAGTGAAGCTGCTGAGTTTTTCGTGGGTCTCCCTCATCACGCCCAGATACTGCTTTGTGGTAGAAACCTGCGATGATCCCAAGGCCGGCCTGTTTTTCTCTCTAAGCAGTAGGATCTATTTTTTAACTGGACCATTTCCCTCGTACTCCTTCTCTCAGGGAACTTACTGCTGTCTGATGCCCACTGTCTAAAGACAGTCATGTATTTTTGTCCAGTTGGTGTACTTCTTTATGGAGGGTGGGATAGTCTTGTATTAGTGACTCATCGTGGCCAGAAGTGGAAATAAGACATTGACTTTTTTGTTCTGTTTTGTTTTTTGAGACAGAGTCTCGCTTTGTTGTCCAGGCTACAGCGAGTGCTCTGGAGTCAGCCTAGCTCACAGCACCCTCAAACTCCTGGGCTCAAGCAATCCTCCTGCCTCAGCCTCCCGAGTAGCTGGGACTACAGGCATGTGCCACCATGCCCGGCTAATTTTTTCTCTAAATATTGGCCAATTTCTTTATAGTAGAAACGGGGTCTCACTCTTGTTCAGGCTGGTTTCGAACTCCTGACCTCGAGCAATCCGCTCGCCTCAGCCTCCCAGAGTGCTAGGATTACAGGCCTGAGCCACAGCGCCGGCTGAGACATTGACTTTTAAAGAGTTCCATTAAGTAGCCTTAAAAAGGGATTTTGATTGTTTTCTTGTGGTGTTGCATAGCTTGTGTCTCTGTTCGTTTATATTTTAAATTTACTTTGTAACGTTCAACTTTGCAAACTCAGGGTAGTATAAAGGTCAACGTTGGTATTGCTTTCCTGTGAAGATGAGGGTGGGAGTGTGTGGAGGGGGACTGCTTAATATGTGACAATCTGAGGAGAGTCTCAGCTCTATCACATGAGCTGGATCTCAGCTTATTCGTTTTATAAAAATGAGGTGGTGATGTTATTTCAGAATTAGCATACATTTAGAAAACAAATTATTCATAACAATTGAATTTTAAAACATCATGGGCCCAAGACCTATTGGCTGTTTTTGGCAAGTCACCCTTTTCCCCATGCAATATGTTTTTATTTTCTTGTTGTTCACTATAAAATCTTTGCACAATTGAGCATAGGATTCAACCTGAATACTGTGTATTTTCTTCCAACTAAACCTAAATTGTGAACACATAGTTTCTCTCCATAGGAGGGCTTCTTGTGTTTGGCATTTTTATTTACTCTGTGTTGGGCCTGTGTTGGTAAGGTCTAGAAGAGTCTCTTAAACTTGCGTGTATAAGGGTCATCTGGGCTACTCATTGAAAATGCAGTCTTCTGGGGCCTGGTTCTGGTCCAGGATCTTCATTCTAAACCCCTGTAGGTGATTTTGAGCCAGGGGGTCTGAGGTCATAGTTTGTGAAACACTAGAATTGTCCTTTTCCTGAGAAAGGCCAGTATGTATATATTTTTTTGTTCAATTGCATTTCAAATTGATTTCTGAAATTATTAACTACCCACTCTAGATATTGCAAAACAGGACTTAGAATTAGCAAAGAGGGGGAAATGGGTTACCTACCCCCACTAAGCTTAGGATCTAAGGGTGACAATTCAGAGGAATCCAAACAATCTGGGTACTAATATGTGGAGAAAGGGATTTTTTGTAAAACTTTTCTCATTAATCCAAGTGGTTTTAAAATTCTATACAGTGGAGTGATGGAATAAATCAACTGATGGAATTTATTTTTAAATTGGCAGACAGTGATAGTTGCCCTTAACCAGGTGTTTCTCATCTCTCTCTATAAAACCAGCAGTCTTGTATCAGTTTGCTATTTTTCATCTCCTTATTACTATTTGGTTTATTTCATCATAATTATAATAACATTATGATATATGTTAAGAACATAGGCTTTAAAGATAGACAAACCCTGGGTCCAAATATTAGCTGTATCTTAGTTCTGTGATCTGGGCTCAAGTATTTGTTTGCTTTCCTATAAACTGAAAGTAGAAATATCCACTTACATGAAGTTGTTGTGAGGCTTAGAAATGATGTATTGCATGCAAGCACCTAACAAAGTGTTTGGCAATTAGTATTAATAAGCATACAATCATGATAGCTTCTCTTATTTTTTTGTCATTAAAAAAAGTCATTTCTTAAAGTGCACATGCTATCATTGCAACCAATATTTCTTAGTTTCAGCCACCTTGGAAGAAGGTTTAGAGGAAAGAGCCACAGGGACTCTTCAGCCATGCATGTCTTCATGCATTCTGCCAACACTCCCTGGATTGCTTTCCTGGTCACTTTAGCATAAGGAGCATTCTCCTGGGAGTCGTAGGTTAAAAAGAGCGGAGTGACTTCTCTTTATTCTTTTCCTTGGGACACTGGAGAGGTCAATGGACTGGAGATTACATTTATCAGCATCAGCAAACCACCGTAGCTGTGTGTTTGTGCTTCAGTGAGCTTAAGAAACAGTCAAACACTGAGAGGTCACCTTGAATTAATCGTTTTAACTTACAAAAACAGGAGCCATTTATTCAATGGCAAAGACACAGGCCGTGTACTATTTGTTTGTTTATGCTCAGAGTGATATTAGTATATCTCCTTTTATTTCACAACTCTTTTCACATAGAGAGAACTGCTTACTGAAGGAAGTGTGAGGGAAGGTTTGGATGTATTGTGCTCGTTGTTAGAATGTATTGTAAACGCAGCTTTCTATACTTTATGTGTAAGGTGCATCACTATTATATAACCGAATCTATCCTACTGTCATTAAAACATCTAGATTTACTTCCACTGAATGTAATGGACCGGTGAATTTGGCCCAGGTGAATTTAAGATCAGAGCCTTTGATAAGTTGTTTCTACTTGAGAATTTCTAAGACTTAAAAGAGAGAAGACTCTAAAGTATGCCACACAGATTCTTATAGTTAGGATCTTTCATGTTGATGGACCTTTAAACATGGAAGCTGGGCAATCAGACTTGGCTTGGATTGTAGTGAGGTCCTCAAGTTACCACCCATGGGTGGGATTTATAGAGCACGTGAACGTGCTCACATGATTGTAAAATGTTAAAGTGAGCAGTAGGTCAGCAGCTTTCACCACTTTCACAAATGGGTCCTTGACTTCCAATAAAAGAGGCTGAGAATAATTGTATATCATCTTTATAGGGAAGGAGGGGTAATGTTTTTATATTTATTTTATTAAATGAAGTGGAAAATATAAGCAGCCAAATTTAGTTGCAGTAAATGTTAGATGCCCTGCTGTATTAATCGTGGTCTTTCAGATGCCTGCCAGGTTGTGCCTCACTGTGTAACAATGCCTCCCTCTGGTGGTTTGACTTCATAAACATTGGCCTTTTTTTAAAAAAAACTAGGAAGTCTAGTTTCTTCTGAAGCCTGTCTTATTCTTTACTGCCAGCTATCACCAATTAATTGTGGGTATACTGTTTTAATTCTTCCAGGTTTACATGGACTGTAAGGACAGGAGTGTGGATGTATTGTTAGCCCATTGCACAGGTAAGAGAGTGTTCTTGGCTAACATTGACCGTGATCCTTCTGCTGTTCCATGTGTTCGTGAAACCTATGCTCCATGTATCCTTATATTTCCTGTGCTTTCCTGTAGCTTCCTTGATGAAAGCAATGCAGTATTATGGAAACCTAGACTCAGAGAAACCAATTTTTTTTGAATCCGTATCTGCTGCAATAAGTAACATCCATTCAAATAAGGTGAGTTGACCAAGTTGCATGCAGGAGTTAGAAGAAAAATTAGAATAAAGGGCCTTGCATTTTTTACATTAGCTTATTGCCTCATTGTCATCCAAAATCTATTAAAATCCCCAACACCACCGTCTCAGAGTTCTCTGCTTGCTAAGAGAGTTTCAGTACGTTGTGAACAGTTGCTTTTTGGATCTTGAAACAATGTCACTGTAGAGAGGATTTGGTAATCACCTATCAACTGCAAACTACTTGCTTATAAAATAAATGCTGCTTCTAGGAGCTAGTGTCCTGGAAATTTGAATCTATCTCTCTCAAATACAAAAATTCTAAAGATAGCCTTTTAGGGTGTTTTTTTTTTCCTTCTCTTGTTCTGATACCCTTGCTTCTAAGCTTATATTGCCATCTTTGGAAACATTATTTGCAGAATCTAGTGCCCCCATGATCTGAAGAGTCAAAGTTAACTTATAAGTATTGGGCCTTATGCTTTAGTTTTATAACTATTCCTAGAGCCTTGTTTTCCTGCAAGTTTTCTGTGATTTTTGAATTGTTTTGCCTTTCCTCGTCCCTAGAACATTTGGTGCCTCCCAGAGTCATCCCTATTATATTCAATCAGAACAGTATGTATTTACCAAATAATAATAATATTAATATTATTATTATCATATACCTAACATTTATTTATTGAGTGCTCACTATGTTCCAGGAATACTTTAAAGGCTTTACATATATTAATTAACTAAATTTTCCATAACATTATGAGATGGATAGTATTATTTAATTTATTTTTATTTATTTTTATTTCAGCATATTAGGGGGGTACAAATGTTAAAGTTATGTATATTGCCCATGCCGCCCCCCCTCGAGTCAGAGCTTCGAGCATGATCATCCCCCAAATGTTTTAGAAATGAGGAAACGGACCCAGGGAAATTACACCATTTGTAAGTGGTAGAGCTGGTTTCAAAGTCAGCAATCTGGCCTTGGACCTGGAACTTTAACCTGCTATATATACTCGGATGCTCCATAGAATATTCATTTCCTTAGCTTGGCTGGGCAGCTTGCTTCAGTTACTACTGTTCTTTTACTATTGTACCAATTTAAGAGTAAGTAGCATATGCTTATTGCTTCTTCTTGTATTTCAGAATTTGAGCAAACTCAGTGACCACAGTGAAGTCTGAGACCCTTGTCTTCAAGTACAGCTCTTGTCTTAAGCAACTGCCCCAAAGAGGCCATATGCTGGCATTTTGCACAACCTTTTTGTTATTTAGATCCTACAAATGACCTCTACTACAATAAGTATGATATGACTTAGTAACTGCATAGCTGCTGGTCAAGAATTGCCAATAATTTTTTCCAATCTTTATTAATAAGCAAATTCACTTGCTTATTTTATATAAAAATTGGTATGTATTTAGTTTTAGTGTACTGAAGGGTAAACATGATTTTATTTCCTTTTACCACAGTATTTTGTTTTATTTCTATTTTGCTGTAAATTGATGTGTAAAATTGAGAAATACTTTTGTCATAAGAGAATTGGAACATTTATAAGCCATTTGTAAAAATTCAGGATCATCTGTAACTAATACGTGAAAACAACTTAGCAAATGTGCCATTTTCTCATATCTTCTCCCACCAAAATCCATTTAAATATCAATAAGGCTAAATATTACTTAATATAATAAGATGTCAAAGTCACAGAAAATAAACAAAAACAAATGGCAAACTAAAAATCATATATCTCCATACCTTTCTATACATTTATTCATTCCTAGAGTATTTAGAACTGTTTTTCATAATCAGAAGAAAATTGGTATCCCAATAAAGCCAAATTCTTGACATGTTTATTTTGCTGTGAATATTGGAAGTGCTTAGGTTCTAGGGACCTAATAGCTCTAATTTCCACATTCCCACCCAGTAAGAGGCTCTAGTTTCTGCTTAAGTTTTGTTGGAGCCAGGAAAGTGGAAATTGCACATTTTATGTCTTTTTACAACTATGATTTTTAAATGAGAAAATACTACTAGTAGAATAGCTTTGTGCTTTCTACTACTTCAGTAGTTTTGCATTTTCTTATTTCAGAGAGACAGACAATATAATATACTATGTTTTTGTGTCTATATCCACATAGATAGATAAATAGATCTCCATAGTATTCTTTCCTTTTTCTTTTGTTAGAGGAGACCTTGGATGTGATTATCTGCAAACCCACCAAAACTAACAGGATAATTGACAAATAAACATAACAGGCCAAGGTGAACTGTATGGTATTGTTTTCATGCATGTACAGATATTTTCAATCATATACAAGTACAGAGAGTTTCACATTTTTATCTGACAAATTGATGTGCCTAAGAAGAAATCTCATTTTCAAAGATAGACATAGACATGTAATTATGCTTAAGCCTTAATGGTGTTTTAACTGCTCTAGAAATTACCAGTGTGAGAAAAAGCCAGGTACTTTAAAGTGAGTTTGAGAAACAGTTTGAAAATAAAATGAAAAGACCAGTCATTTAGGAGCTTTCAATAGCATCTATAAGAATAAATAATAAATAAATAAATTGACTGACACACGATAGATTATAATGGTCCCTAGCAATTGTGTGGTAAACATTTATACGGTCCTTTATTTTAACATTAAGTCCTAAGTAGCACAATGAAATAAAATGAAAGGGGAATAATGAATGTTTCAAATTCTTGTCACTTATCCAACCATTTCAATTTTGATTTAGATGTACAAAGAATGGTTTTTGTTCCGAAGGTAGCCTCAATCTTTTCATCACTAATTTGGATTGAATCGAGTCAGGCCAACTCCCATCAAATACTATTCCAGGGAAAGGTGGACGTGATGATTGAAGGTAAAATTTCCTTAGAGAAAGGAATTTTACTCTGCTTAGTCCAATCAAATTATTCCGGTGGTGACGGTGGTAATATTCATCATTTCTAATACACTGGAAAATAACTCATGAAAAGTCTCAAAAAAATAAATAACTCATGACTCAAGAAAAGTAAAAAAAATAAAATTTATTTTTCTATGTATAAATTAATATTTTGCTTTGCAACTTTGAACTATAATTGAATTCATGTACTACAAGCATTTTCTAATTTGTTAGAGATTATGGGCCATGGATGACATTAAAATCATTATAGTTAATCAATGATAATTTGTTTTATGGTATTGTTAAAGCTGACACAGTATTGTCTGAGCAGTGACATTTGAGTACATTTCAATGTTTATAGAAGTTTAATGGATAAGACTTTAAAGCCAGTAACTTGGGTGTCAAATATTAATGCTATATTCAAAATAAAGGAAGACCAAACCATGCACCTTATAAAGCCCTTTGTCTGAAGGTTTCTTCAGCACACGAGGCCACAATGACTGTTGACCCAGAGGAATTCGTTGGAATTGAGTTCTTAGAGTCTAAGAGTGGAACATGAGTTTAAACATACAAGATCCTAAAACATAAATGTTTATTTCAAAGCAGGCATAGACAACACAAAACTACAATATGGTCCTGATGCAAGAATGTTTCTAGAGTTACACTGAATTATTTTTATGAGATCACCTTATTTTTACATATGATAAACTACTTCCGTAATACTTATTATGGTAAAATAAAATTAGAAAAAATTAAAACTGACCTATAAGAGTGTTAAGGGCCTATTAGAATGGCATATATAAATTAAGCATAAAATATGTAATCAGGAAAAGACTGTTAACATTACATTTATGCAAATTAAATGCCCTTAAATTTCACCATTTGTCTTTCATTTTAAAGGTTATTTGCCCCCGATTATATGATTCAAGTGTTATAAGGTTTAGCCTGAACTACTTTGCAGTAATTTATTTGACAGATCTCTATTCTATAAATGTGTAATGTAATGAGGAAAGAGATCTTTCTTTTTAAATGAAAACATTAATGTGTTAATACCCTGTATGGATAATGTTTGACATTTAGTGGTCACCAAAATATATTAGTATGTTGCTGAACATATTAATACATATGCCTTAGAAATGCACATTCTGTATTCTGTGGGATGATAATCTAATTCAATATAGAATATGCTATTTGGCAGTGAGTTTGTTGCCAGATTTCAAATAGGGAGCTAAGTGGCACTTTCACAATCCAAAGATTTTTAGTTAAAAATCATGTAGTCTAATACACTGCACTTATTTTTTATATTTTTCAATGCATTTAATTATCTTTTTTTATAATTCTTTGTACTAACCCAGCATGTAACAACCAATTTACTTGGAAATAAATTGAAATATGATAACTATTATGCTTAAATGGATTTGTGTCCATTATTTCAGAATATTTACTCTCCTACAAAGCAAATAATACATATAGCTTTCTTGGACTGACCACAGAGTATTACATGTCGAGAATTCCTGGAAGTATCGATTATTTGTAGTAATTTGTTCTTTCAAAATGTCAACTGAGGGCTCTGAGATACTGTGCCTTAATATCTGGACTGCTGATTTAGGGTACTTTTTGCTACAAAACTACATTTACACAATCCTCTTTCATTAAGTTAACATTCTTTATGTTCTAATTTTAATTAATGTGTACATTTTGATTTTCCATTTGTTTGGGTTCTTCATTATATGCTGTTGTGGTTTTTTTGATCTTTTCTGAGTTCCTAGGCTGAGTTCAACATTCTTCAGTATTTTGACAGTTACTGCTCCTAGGACAAGAAGATAAGGAATTATTCTAGGTGTTAGAGACAGAGCAAAGAATAAAACAGGAAATAACAAAAAACAAACAAACCTCATGGAGCTTATGTTTTAACAAGTGAAGACAGAAAATAAACAGGATAAATTTAAATTACATCATGAAGTAGATGATGATATGTGCCAAAAAGGCGGGTAAATTAAGGAAATCTGATGGAAATATGGCAGAGGGTGAGTGTTGCATCCCTGGATAGGATGGCAGGAGGTGATTAATGGGAGTGTCTTGTCAGCTAGAGCCGCTATAAAAAAATGCCACAGATTAGGGGGCTTAAACTACAGAAATTTATTTCTCATTTCGGGAGGCTGAGAAGTCCAAGTTGAAGTTGCTGGGCAATTTGGTTTCTGGTGCGGGCTTTCTTCCTGGCTCGTAGATGACCACCTCCTCACTATGTCCTCATATGGTGAGGAGAGAGAGGAAGAGAGAAATGACATTCCCATTCTCAAAGGGAGAAGTAAGAAAGAAGAAAGGAGTGATGGGTCCCAAGCAAGACCAAAACTTAGCAAGGCAAATTCTGTTACATTCATTAGATCTCAGGGCTCAAAAATAATCCTCTTTGCTTGGATGCCCTACATTTTGGACCCACTGGGGTTGCAGTTCTGCCTCCAAGGCTCTGCAAAGCTGCTCCACCCCCACAGCTCTGCAGGACAGTTTCAGCCCCAAAGCTTTGGTTGGAGCTTTGTCTGCACTATTAAAACGGAGGCAGTGTCCCCACCTCTCAAAATCAAGGGGGCAGCACTAATGATCTCTGAGTTGCCTTTGGTTTCATTCTCCCTTTTAAGAGCTGTGCATGTTCACAGCCTATTAGCTTCATGGTCCTGTCCTATAGAACCCAAGAAATCTGACAGTCCTTCATTTTGCCCTGTCTCTGTTCCCTTCGGTTCAAACTGGCAGAGTTTCTGCTTTTATAATCCCATCTCTATCCCTGGCTTCTGCAGAGGTGGCTGATTAAATTCATTGTTCACACCCATACTAATCTCCTTATCAAATGGTTGTTTAGCCACACCCTTAGTGTTCTCTTTGGAACAAGGTTTCTTATTTTATGCAATGTGGGATAGGCTACGAATTTTCCAAATCTTCAAGTTCTTGTCTGTTTTTGTTCAACAGTTCCTTCTTCATCCCTTTTCCTCACATTTACTATAAGCAGTCAGGAGCAACCAAGCCACCCCTGAATGCTTTGCTGAGAAATATCCTCAGCTAAATGTCCAATTTCATCACCAGTAGTTCTACCTTCCACAGAACACTAGACAGGGCTCAGCCAAGTTCTTTGCCACTTTATAACAAGGATTGCCTTTCCTCCAGTTTCCAGTAATGTTCTTCATTTCTGCTTGAGACCTTGCCATGATGGCCTTTCATGGCCATATTTCTACCAACGCCACTCATGATTATTTATGTATTCTCTGAGCAGATGGAGACTTTCTTTCCAGCTCTCCTCTTTTCTTTTTGAGCTCTCACCAGAATTACCTTTAAATATCTATCCTTCTACCAGAAGTTCCTTCACAGCAATTCGGGCTTTTTCTAGCACACACTTCAAAACTCCTCTATCCTCTTACCAATTGGCCAGTTCTAAAGCTGTGTCCACATTTTTAGGTATTTGTTACAATAGTGCCTCACTTCTCAGTGCCAAAATCTGTCTTAGGCTATTTAGACTGCTATAAAAAAATACCATAGACTGGGTGTCTTAAACAACAGAAATTTATTTCTCATGGTTCCATAGGCTAGAATTCCAAGATCAAGGTGCTGGCCAATCTGGTTTCTGGTGAGAGCTCTCTTCCTGACTGGAAGATGGATGCCTTTTCTCTGTGCCCTCACAAAAGTGAGAGAAAGAAAGAGTGAATTCTCTGCTCTCTCTTCTTATTAGAATACTAATTCTACACGATCAGGCCTGACCCTTACGACCTCATTTATCCTTAATTACCTTCTTTATAAGCCTTATCTCCACATACAGTCACATTGGGGATTAGGGCTTCAACATATGAATTTTGCAGGGACACAATTTAGTTCATAGCAGGGAATTATGAATTTCCTAGACATTTAAATTTTTTTTTTCTTTCTGAAAAACAGGCTTTTTAGAATTTTATTTCTATTTACTATATGTCATGCTTGTGCACTAAAAATATGATAATTGATCATGAGGTGTCTGGTTAAATAAAGCATTCTACTACTAGAGGCAGTAGGTTAGTATAGATATGACTAGCTGTACCTGGCTACTTAGACAAGACCGTGGCAGGCCGTGAAGCAGGGTAAAGTGGTCAGAATGGATTTGCAGTATACCAGTGGGGACTCAGAGGCTGAGCCGTGTTATATTCAGGTGATGGCTCCTAATAATTATCTATCTAGTTAAAGAAGACAGAATTGGAATTAGCTGGTTTTCTCTAAGCTATCATTGTTTTGACAAACAAAAAAACAAGCACAAACTTGCTTAATTTCACAGAGACAGGCACGAAAAGGAATCCTGTTGCTAACTTTCCACTTGGAGTTTTCGTTTTCGTTTTCATTTTGTTTTATTATACTATTTTTTTTAAGAAGGAAAGAGTGCTCAGTTACCACCATTTGGTTATGTTCTCTGAAACAATCTCTTTCAAAGTCCTCATATAAAAATCCTCACTCATTTTCTCTTGATTCCACAACAAGAAGTTCATTTTGGTCAAACTCATCTCCTTTCTGTTCTAAATAATAAAGACCACTCCCTATGGTAAGTATAAGAAGATTTTTAGTATTTTTTCCTAGTGGAGCCCCCTTGTTTTATGAACGCAATTAAAAATTGGCTAATTAGTACATCCTGTAAGTATCTATAATTTATAAGAACAGTTGTTATATTACAAAAATAAAATGCTCCAATATTTAAATAAATAAAAATAAAACCAAGATTTTATCTTTATTTCCTTTGGTGCCAAAGATGCTTCTTTTTAACTTTTTGGTTTTGAAGCAATTTCGGGCCTTGTGAAGTAGAAAAATGAGGAAAGTATAAAAATGAGGGCCTCTTTTGGACTGTCTTGTGTCTTCCAAATCCACTTCCATTTGTAATGCCTGCAAATGCCTAGACACTTACCTACATCTTGATTTATATCCAACAGTTTTCCTAAGCTTCCATACCCTCTATTTTCTTAAATTTGTAGTAAGGGACTTAATGTTTAAATGAGGGTGACTTTATTTAGGCTAATGAAGCCTGAGAGATATAAATACCTGGAGGCATATCAGGAGGAAATTAGATGGCATGATTGACCCTATGGTGGTATAATTTCAGGAGCATCCAAATGTTCTCTAAGTCCAAACTCTGTACTTCACCAGTATTTAAAGGGGCTTGAAGTTATCATTAGTCAATTATTGGGGCTCAAGCAAATATTATAAGAAAGAAAAAACACATGGAAGCTATTGGGACACCTTGTGTTAAGCCTTATGATGAACTAATCAGCTAATAAGACATTATCACCACGAACCTGAGAAAATAAAGCAAACAATAAAATTTGATGGGAAAGGGTAGTTAAAAATGTCTTGGGAGCTGCTGAGGATAGGATTGGGGGTGGCACACTGGGGTGGTGAGGAAGAACAGGGGGTTGTGTTGGGGAGGCAGATTGAGTGATACTCTTTGGACAATTTTGGATGGCCAGGTTCTCCCCTCATACCCCCCACTCCCACCCCCATTGACACAGACATGAAAGAACTGGGGTTCATGAAACCAAACACAATTCTTCCCACATATCAGCTTTTCCTGGGGCTTGGACCTATGCCTTTTGCTTTGGCTCTGGAATTAAAATTTGAGAATAGAAATAGCAATAGACGTACAATAAAATTTGAGGATTAAAATAGCAGTGCAACTGCCAAAAATGGGATGGACATACAATTCTTGTCTCATGTAAACCTTTTTCTTTTTGCCCTATTTCCCCTCTTCACTCTGTCAATGAAAACATTGAAGTAGCAAAGGTGATTTCTCCTAAATTTTATTTGAAATGTGAGCCTTATAATATTGACACCAGAATTGTCATGAGTATTTGTGAAATACAAATAGATTTAGGTGGCCTACATAAGATCTAAACAATCAGATTTCTTTGGGGTGGGCTTGGGAATAAGAATTTTTAAACAATAATCCCTTTAGTCTTGTATCCTAAAGTTTAGGATCACAGTTCCAAAGGCTTTCTTTAGTCTGGTATTTGAAAGAAGCCCTGTTCTTAGGCACCTACATTTTTATCACTTGCTCTGTTTTGGCTTGTGCTTCAGCCACAGTATATAGTGGATATTTAATATCCCTATGGTGCTATTCTTAGGAAACAAGAACTGGGTGCATGGTTATGTCACATTGCACAGGACCATGTCAAATTCACCATAGCTTTTGCTCAATATCAGTATGTTAGGGCCAGAAAGTCGATAAAACATATTATCCTTTTTCATATATTCTTGGGCAAATATCAATAGTTTTCTTAAGACTGGAAGTTTGTATTTAATATCTTTTATCATGGAAAATTTTCTTCCTTGTTTCACAAATTTATACTGTTCCAACTTAAATTGATGTAGTCATATAAGAAAATGGTCCCATCCTTCAGGTTACTACTCACACATAT